ATGAATGCCGGTACCACACTATGACCAGATATATACAGGACTGCATGGCTTCCTATTTCGATGAATTACTTTTCTTTGACGTTGTGAAACTTCATTGATATGGAGGGACTCCATCAGAGAGGAGCAATGTCCCGCTATTTGTATTGACAAAATGGCTTTGAATTTTGAATGCTGATCTAAGATGACAAGTTTTCGTAGCAGCCTCGCAGGGATTGTATAAGTTTAAGTAACAATAAGCATTTTGTATGTACAGAGTAGCGACAGTTGTAATCACAGAATAAGCCTCTCATCAGTGAGTAACTTGAAGAGTCATGGATGCGACCTCTGTTGTGACCTTAGCATTAGTAACCAGAGGTGCCCCATGCAGTGTCGAAATTACTATATCTTGAATTTGTAGAGAAAGAAAAAGAATCCATTTTTTTTTAGTATATACACTTATTAAAATATTAATAAATGTTTGTTCATTTTGAAATGCATTGGAACCTCACACTATATGACATTGCAATTTGTAACGTCTAGGTTTACCTCAGGTCTAGCTATGGATTTTTATTCAGTTATATATCCACGTGATATTATGTGGCTTTAGTACCACGTATTTAATTAATTCCATTAATCAATGGTCTTGGTCTAAAGTAAAGTAACTTGATGAAATCACAACTCAATCAGTTGTGGCTATTCATGTTCAAATAGATACGAGGCCATTTCCTCGGTATACATACAATAAGAAAGTAAGTTGAGAAAGTATCGGAACATAAGAAAGTAATATGTACTATAAATAGTTGATGTAAAATAAAAAACTGAATTTAATTTTTAGGAATTTAACTTGCACAAAAAGAATGCGAGATTATTTTTTCTTAAAAAATGGGTGAAAGAGTACATTTGTAATTCTCCCTATGATTTTGGGGTTGTTTAAATGAGTTTCTTTGAAGTACTTATTTGAAGAAAAAAGTAAATTAAACTTTTTTTTTTTAAGTTAAAGTTTTTGATTTGTTTTTACTGTACAAGTTAAAGTTAACTTATATACTTTGATTTTTATAAAAGTTTTCTTTCATTCAACTTATTCAAAAATTAAAGATTAAATATGTTTTTAATCATTAATTTTTTTTATTGATTTTTTACTTTTAGTTTCCGAATAACTTTTGTTATTAGTTTGTCTTAAACTTTTGTTTGTTTTTCAATTTTAGTTTATGTACTTTTTTTTCTCTTATTAACATTTTAACCCATGTTTTAAAGAATTTTTGTTTATGAAAAAATATTTTAAATACTAAAATAAAATAACATTTGTTCTGAAACTGTGAAAAAAACATATTTAATCCATAATTATTGTTGGATCGGTAATTGATTGCTATGGGGACGAGAAAAATAATAAACTGTAGAAACTAGAAAATATTTTGATTGGAGGAAGAAGTAAAAAAAAAAAGAAAAAAGAGGAGAAATAAGAAAAACAAAAATATTTCACTGAAAGAAGATATAAAAAAAATTGATTTCGTGACAACGGCATGTTGCAGGGTTCCGCGGCGGCGGAGAGTTGTTGAGTTGAAGAAAAACTCTCTTCTCTTCTCTTCCATCGGTATTGAGTTGAGACTTGAGAGTGAGGATGCTGAATGGAATTAGGTATGTCTTCCCTCGCATTCACTTACTCTTTTGTTTCCCTCTTTCTCAACATATCAGACTCTTTCGTTATTTCCATCGCCAAAAATTTGACACTCTAGACCACGCTCTTCGCTCCTTCAATCGCTTACTCCAAACCCACCCTCCCCCACCCATTTCCGCTTTCGACAAGGTTTTGGGAGCCATTGTAAGAATGGGGCACTACCCCACTGCCATCTCTCTCTTCACCCAACTCCACCTTCGTGGAATCACCCCTTCCATTGCCACCCTCACCATCTTCATCAATTGCTACTGCCACCAGTCTCACATGTCTTTCGCCCTCTCCCTTTTGGGAACCATTCTCAAGATGGGTTACCAACCCAACATGGTCACTTTCAACACCCTCATCAATGGTTTCTGCATTAATGGCATGCTATCCAAAGCCCTTATTTTTATCCATGACCTCATGGCCAAAGGCTACCCTTTGGATGAGTTCACTTATGGGTGTTTGATCAATGGTCTCTGTAAAAATGGGCAAACTAGAGATGCCCTTTTATTGTTGCACACGATGGAGCAAGAGTTGATTAGGCCTAATCTTGTCACTTATAGCACAGTCATTGATGGACTATGCAAAGATAGGCTTGTGGCCGATGCGCTACGTTTGTTCTCGCGCGTCACTTCGCGGGGGATTTTGGTTGATGTTGTCACCTACAATTCTCTCATTCGTGGTTGTTGCAGTATCCGTCAATGGCGTGAAGCAACGCGGTTGCTAACTATGATGGTGCAGGGGAACGTTGATCCGGATGATTATACCTTTAACATATTGGTTGATGCATTGTGTAAGGAGGGAAGGATTGTGGAGGCTCAAGGTGTGTTTGCTGTGATGATGAAGAGAGGGGAGAAACCTGATATCGTTACTTACAATGCCTTGATGGAGGGTTATTGTTTAAGCAATGATGTTAGTGCAGCGAGAGAACTGTTCAACATGATGGTCAAAAGAGGCTTGGAACCTGATGTCTTGAATTATAATGTCTTGATTAATGGTTACTGCAAGATTGAGATGGTAGATGAAGCCATGGTTCTCTTTAAAGAGATACGTCAGAAAAATTTAGTCCCTAATATTGCTACTTATAATTCTCTTGTTGATGGCTTGTGCAAATCGGGGAGAATGTCATGTGTGCAGGAGCTTGTTGATGAAATGCGTGATTGGGGTCAATCCCCTGATATAATCACTTACAACATTTTGTTAGATGCTTTTTGCAAAACCCAACCTTATGACAAGGCAGTCTCATTATTTCAACAAATTGTCCAAGGAATTTGGCCTGATTTTAACATGTATAATGTAATTGTTCGGGATTTCTGCAAAGATGAAAAATTAAAGATTGCAGAAGAAGCTCTTCAACATCTTTTGATGCATGGCTCTCGTCCAAATGTCCAAACATATACCATTATGATCAATGCACTTTGTAAAGATGACTCTTGTGATGAAGCTTTGACCTTGCTTTCAAAAATGGATGGCAATGATTGCCCCCCTGATGCAGTAACCTTTGAAACAATTATTGGGGGTCTCCAAGAAAGAAATGAGACTGATAAGGCAGAGAAGCTTCGTCAGGAAATGATTGAAAGAGGTCTTGTAAATGATGAGAAAAGGTAAGATATTTTAGTTCCATTTTAGATTATACTTGTAACATTCACTCTTTATAAATGCCTAAAAATTGTGGAGAAATACTACCAACACACCCTCTACTATTGGTATGAAATTTGTTGGAAATTGTAAATTTTGGTAGGTCGCATTCCTCATTTAATGACTCTTCATTTTGTAGCTCTCAATAAATTTTAACCAATAATGAGTGTGTTGAGAAGAGTGTTGGCAAGTGTTGTTAGCAACATATATACGTTCTGTTGACTAATAAATTCTGTTGTGTGGAGAAGTTGGATAAAATAATAACATAAATAAGAGGAGTACTAGTAACACTCTTTAATACACTGCTTCCAACATACTCTTTCCTATTGGTCAAAATTTACCAAGAATTACAAATCAGGAATAGGGTGCATAAAATAAGGTGTGGGTTCTTGTGGATGGAAAAAACATGGTTGAGAAGGGAGATTCCATTTAAGGTTGTCAACGAAGTTTCTCAACGGAGAATGGAGATTAGTCATTGACGAAGTTAGTTGATACTTCTTATCAATAATCAATAACATGGTTATCAAAACAAAATAAGGAGTGAGACCATACAATTTTATGATTTTTAATAAATTTTAATCAATAATAAAGTGTTAGAATCAATATGTTGCTAACATTTCTCATATATGTACAAGTTTTGTGTGAATGATGTATTTATCCTTTCATGTAGTGTCATTGTCACCATCACTGATTCATTTTCTTAAAACTTACATGACTTTTACTACTTTTGCATTTATTAGCTCTTTCTGCAATCTAACTAGTTGCCAAATTGTTAACTTTTATTGGATTTTATCATTTAAAATGGCAACCCTTTTAACTATGACAAATCCTAGCAGGTTGATGCCTCAACAGCGAGTGAATCTGTGACTGCTGGGCTCGGTGTTCTCATTCTATTGCACACTGCAAGCAGTGCAAATCAAGATTTGCATGTGTGGTAATCCATCCAGACTGTGAATGGCATAGCAATTATGCTAAAAACATTCAAATTTTCAATGTTTCTACGGGCTACAACGATCAACCCTATACTGTTGTTTGCTTCCCTGCCAGTTCGGGCTTTTAGTCTGCTTGACCTCTCTGCTTCCATTTTTTCCAAATGGTCTCTATACCCTGCATTTCCTTTCCTCTAAACTGGTAAGCGTTATATTTGCCTTTTTTACCCACAACTTTTGATGAAGGGATGAATCTTGAGCCTCTCATCCTGTGTTTGTTATATATTTCATTTGCAATAACTATAGCCTGAGAATTAGAATTGTTGTGATCATGTTTTATGATATCTGCTTGTAGGCTTGCTTCATTCTTAGCAAGTTTCCCAGCAATTGTTTATATTCTCTGGAAAATTGCACTTCCCGTGATCAAGTAAAAACAAGGTAGAACTGCTATAAGAGAACAGTGACTGTTTTATTCTTGGGTTTATGAGTTTCTTATTACCAATATATTTACAATCTTGTTCTTGTTCATGTATCAGACAGATTACTTGGTCATCGGAGCTTGTGAAGATTCAGTGCATAGCCTTGTGGACTTTGCCAGAGACATGTGCGAGTAGGGATTTATGGTTAAATATATTTTCCACAATGATTGATAGAGCGAAAGAATTACGTATGGAAAAGGGGGTACAATAGAGTGTCAAGAGAGTTAATGCAAAAGACCATGGAGAAGGAAGAAGTACATATTGCCCATATTGGAGCAATCAAGGATATATCTATGAGGGGGTCATAGCTAGCTTGAGAACATGAAGAGGGAGTTGTGATAGATTTTTTTGTACGGAAAGGGCCAACTATGATCCCCAATCTTTTTAGCTCAGTTTTGGATGTGGCTATTGAGCAAGTATACAACATGGGTACAACACGACAAAAATACTAAATTTTTTTGAAATTCGTTAACATGAATTTAAAAAATATATATACTTTGCATAAATGCACAATATTTGTTAATATACATGGATTATTTCTCATTAATACGACCATATCAGTGGTTTATGAATCATGATCACAATTTACAAAATAAATATTTGTGATTCTTTCATAAACGCAGTTACATGTATTTCTATTACCCATATCAAAATGCGTTCTTTCCTCTATGAACATGTTAGAAAATTTTCACCAATTCATGTCTAGAATGTCGTAAAAAGTATAAATAGTCCTATTCAAGGTATTAAGTCGTATCCCAAACATATCACTCAATAAAATTAAAAAATATAATAAAATTGGAGGGTATTCCTTGATCAAGTATTGAGGAGTACATAGCTATGATAGTGATTCTTTTGCCATTGTTGGAGAATCTTGATGGAATAACACCAAGGCCAAGAAATCCAAGAGGTGATGTATTGAAGGAAGTAAAAGGAATGAGTTAGTGTTGAAAAATCATAGGAGGAGTGAAGCCACTTTTGAACCTTAACTCCTAAGTTTTTATTAGCATAGCATTTATTTTTATTCCTATTTTACCCTTGTCTTTGATTTCCTATTTTACCCTTGTATCTTGAGATATTTTAGTCTTAGAATTTATTTTACTAGTATTTCCCATTTTACCCTTGTATTTTGGGGTATTTTAGTCTTAGAATTTATTTTCTTTTGTATTTCTCATTTTACCCTTGTATTATGGAGTGTTTTAGATCATAGGATTTTATTTTTGGGTTAAGGTATTTGATTAGGGTGGAATAAAGGCTAGATGCATTTTTGGTGGTGTTTGGACCTATTTTTGGACTTGGAAAGGCTTAGGCCCAAGTGGAGAGCACTAGGTTGCATGGTCTTATCATGCACCTAGATGTAGCCTAACCAAACCTAAAGATTCCATCCTTAGCCACCAAGTTACATTTAGGGTTAATTTGAGTTTCATTTGGTGTGCATTTGGCATTGTGAATTTTGGTCATGCAACCCTAGATGCCTCCCACTCCTATAAATACCCTAGGCACCACACCTTGTAAATACTTTGGATATTGAATATAAAGAGAGCCTTTTGTGCCTTTATATCTTTTCTTAGTCACCCTTGGCTAATTCGGCCACCTCCCTCCCATCTCTACCTTGAGAGAAACAACCCTAGAAGTGGCATTCATCATCATGAAGTGAGCTAACCCTAGAGTACCCTTCTCAAGCATTTCCTCAAACACCTTCTAACTAACCTCCATTTTCGTCCATTCCATCATCATCCATCCTAAAACATTGTGCTACCTTTGAAGAACTTGATCCGTGGAGTAGGCGTCCTCTTCCTTGTTCATCATCTCAAGGTCATGCAAGTTAGGATGCCATCAAATCTGGAAGTCGGGTTGGAGATGTTTTATGAAAGACATGTTAACATTATTGTGGACAGGCCACTTCATTAATGATAGTTCTGTAATGAATTATTGAATTTTTTACTGCTAAGCTACGTCTTCTATGGAACTCAAGAACCATTCACGATCTTGCCCCACCACTACTGTCAAGAAAGAGTGGATTTCCATGAATTTTGATTATCTTTCTGTTGACAAGTAGTTGAATGACGACAACACTAAGGTAAATAACAAAAGGAATATAATGGCATGATTAAATTTAATGAAAAGAAATGTCATGCAACGTATTTTGTTTTTCCTATTATTCTCGATCACCATCTCATTGAGTGCTTTCTCGGCTTGTTGAATTCGATTTTATTAACCAATTAATTGGCCTCCTCCAATATTCATTTCTTTAATTTGATAGGTGAAGTTCGCCATTCGGTTGTCACAATCCTTCTACAAAATAGAAGTGCTAAAACTAGCATATACTTAGTGTGGTAGACATGGATCGTGTGGTGTGCGTCCTATCCTCACTACGCCCTAGCAAATAGTCAGTATTTACTTTTTTGAAACCTATTTCGAAAATCATTTTATCAAACAAGTTTTGTTTTTTTATTCTTATACAGTTCTTAACAATTATTTAACAAATAGTTTTAAAGAAAAAAAAATAACAAACAGATTACACGACCCAACATGGAGCAGACACAAGCGTCATGCTAGTTTATAACTAATGTATTTAAAAATGAATTTTCAACATCAGCCGATGTTGGCATCCTGCAGGTTCAGAATGATAGTTGCAAACTAACTTGCAATAGAAATAAAATGAGAAGTAAACATTGCGCAATAGCATTTCAAGGCCACATCCCTAACCACGGCAGCTGCAACTTCAGTCTGACGAAAGAAGGGAATCAAACAAATTCAAAGAACCAAGTGCTAGCCAATTTTCTGAGCATCACTGGTATTCCCACTGCTTGCTCTACACCTTGAGCAGATAGTAAATATTTTAATACCATTTCACCTACAATTAAGAGATGCAACAAGGGATTTTTAAAGCATTTCTAGATCATTCAGAGACAACAAAATCCGACCCTCCTAAACAATTCCATGTTGTATTAGTTAAGACACATCGATAATATACACATGCAAGGCTCTGAATCATGTTTATAGTTTAACCTAAAAATAGGAACGAGGTGTAGGAAAGTACTAAGCACAAAAGCTAGATGATTTATTTTTAAGATTGTATTTTTGAAGTAGAAGCATGCCACGTGATTGTAAAAATGGAATATTAACTACCAGATTTTGCAACATCATTTGGATGCATAACCAACAAGTTTAAAACATAAGCATATTGTTCTTAATGAATTAATTTATGCCTCCAATATAATTTAGGGCATACGATAGTCTAATCCACCGAGCAGTCATAATCAAATCCAAGGTGCAAATCTCGAGAATCGAGATACTTGATAAATCATTAACACAATTTTGAATATTAATTCATTTAAATACAAAATACTCATGCTCATGAAATCCAAAACGGTGGTGCACAAAATTATGCAAGTAGAATTAGAATCGCTTCTCACCAGTTCTCTGCTTGCGGAAAATTACGACTGTAGAATGGAAACTCGAAGAGAAAAATTGTTTTGAACCATGCCGGTAAGTTCCCGTAGACTGATGTTGGCAACGGGATTAAAGGGCTGAAAAGGATTTGGCTTAGTCATTTCACCTTAACGATAAAAGTACAACAATATCCTCATCCCACTAGTTGGAAAGACATTTCTCCATAATGAGACACTGAAAATAAATAATAACATGGAGGAGGTAAATTAACCTGGTTCTTTTTTTGTATATCCTATATCCATCTACATTGCCAAACTTCTTATCAGCTGAATCCTGTCTCCATCAAGCAATTCATCATCAGGAAAGCCATGAAATTATAAGCACAATTTTGATCAAATCAGAGGTAAGAAGCAAACCTCAAGCATTGGAATGCCACTGACAAAAAGAAGCAACAATGTGAGAAAGATTGGTCCAATGATTACCAGCCACTCACCACCCTCCAGTACAGGTGTAGATGCCACAAAAATTCCCCACCAAAGCAATATCTAAGTTAAGCATTCATCACATTCCATTAATTTCCAACTTTAGTTTTCTAATAAAACAAGAAATATTGTTAGAACATTGAAGCCCTTATGAGACCAACCAAAAACCATTAGCTGAGCAACAAAAGGGGAAAAATAATGACTTTAGTTTATACTATAAAAGAGGCTGAAATGTAACTAAATAGCTTATTCTGGCATATCTCTGCAACCATATGCACATTTTCACAGAAATTACCATACAGTATACCAAGTCATTTGTTCCACATATTATCGAGTCTGGTTTAGATTCAAATAAGTTATCTATCAAAATTTCAGATAAAATAGGGACAAAGATAAACTTGTCTCAGGCGCACCCTGAGTTGCTGCTACTGCACCAAAGTCCAAAGGTGTGTTTGGGTAAACAATTTGATTAAACACTTATTCAATAAGTTTATCATATGAGAACCTTTATCATAAGATAGGCTATGAACCTTAATTAGTTTAAAAAGAAAACTTATTTCAGTAAGGTTCACAACAAAACTTGCTGAAATAAGCTAAAAGGAGCTTATGGGAAGATCCCTAGCCATATTCATAAATCTGACCAAGCTGCTTATAAGCTCTTTCATATACATCCTGTAATACCAAAATATTTTCATTTGAAAGTAATAACAGCACTAACCTCGCCAAAATAGTTAGGATGACGAGAATATTTCCAGAGTCCAACATTACACCACCTCCCTCTATTTTCTGAAGATCTTTTGAAATGCAACTTTTGTTGATCTGCCGTACCTTCCACAATAAAACCCACAGACCATAAAATCCACCCTACTATATCGACAACATGTAGAAAGGGATTTCTGTCGCTTGCATTAACTACCGTAACAGGTAAACTCACAGCCCACACCCAGACAGCCTGCAAAAAAATTGAAGTAAATGACAGGACTTCGAAAAGGAAGATTTCCTGAAAAAGCAAGACCAGTGTACAAAATCTTAAAATAAAAATGATAAAAATCTAAGAAACCTGAAATATCCAAAATATGGCCAATCTACCCAAATTATTGCGCATTTCATCAAAGCGGTGGTCCTCTCCCCATTGCAAAATCCTGGCAAACATATTCAGAAATTAGATCAAACTATAAGAAATTCATAAACAAACTTTGATAACTAAAATTCTTGATATTAAGCTATGTTGAAGCAAATATATGTTGAGCATGAAAAATTGGGAAGAATTGACCTGTTTAACAAAATAAATATAATACTTTGACCACAAATTGGTCACTGAACCAAATATGTTAGGAACATGGTCAACAATGCAGTATACAATATAAAAAGCATTGTGTAGAAAGGGAGTTTTAAAAATAAATATTAACAATACAACATGATAACTGAGAGCCCCTCTGATTTGTTGAAATTTATTGGGAAAAAAAAATAGTGAATCCCACACCCTATTTGATGACTCTTGATTTGCAGTTTTCAATGAATTTTAATCAATAAGAGAATGTGTTGCTAGCTCTCTTCTATAATAACTATATCATAGAATCATATATATTTTTTTTTAATTCCCAAAACTAAAACTTATACTATGAAATATTTTCTCTAAAGAATAGGCAAATTCTTTTTTTTTTTTTCTAGCACTAATGGTATTCGGATACGACATTGATGTCTGACTAATTTGACTCGAACCAATAAAACATTCTCTCCAAGTTGTTAATGCAGTTGGATTTCTTGATTTTCAAACTCAAGACTTTTAATTAAACTAGAACAATCACCTACTAGTTCATTTATGCTCGGTTGTTGTAAAGAATAATAAACAATTTAATTAAAAATAAGTCAAAAAAGAAAATACAGTAAAGATTGCAACGAGAAATAATCTGTTCAATTCAAGCATTTGAAAAAAGAGGATGTATAACTGAGACAAGCAAATGTGGCTGAGAAGTACACTAAAGTTGAGGATCGAAACATTCAGATCCCGGCAAAAATAAAGGTAATAAATAAAAGAAAAAAGGACTTGGAATGAGATTGGTCCAAATTATGTGATACATGGAATGGAATAAATCACATACTTCACAAAATTTTATAATCTATAGCCCTACTACCACCACAAATTCATCAAGCTCCATAATTTTCAGAACTTTTTTTTTTTTTTTTTTTTGCGTATGAGGCCTTGGATATAGTTTACGAGAGACAATCCTGCTATTATACTTGAGTTGAGTTAAATAGGACCACTATGGATAGCAAAGTTCATAGTTTTCAGAATTTAATCACAAAAAAACCATAAAAGTGATTATTGGGTTGTTTATTAGGCTTTTAGCTGCAATGATATGTCCATCATCATATACATATAGTCATATACATATACATACCTGAATAAGAGGAAAAGCCCCAGGCGAAGTCCCCATATCCCAACAAACAAAGTAAGGATTATCTGCAAAGAGTGTATTTTATTCATCATTGGTCAGGGAAAAATAAGACGCTATTTTCTAATCAAAATTTTCAATTGTCTTCGTCTGTCAATTCCAAATTTACCAATAATATTTAAATAAAAAAAATGTTATCTTACCTGTCGAAAATACCAGGAGCCTTTGAGAAACAGAGTCAATAAAGCAATTATAATGAAATTCGAACTTCCTTCAAAGAGAAAAAAATACAGAGAAGAAGGAGTTAAATAACCACTTTGTTTAATTTATTGAAGTCAAAGAAAAGGTCAACGTGAAGTAACCGGCAAAATCAGTGACTTTGTCGAATTTGAGGAGCGCAGTGACGACGAAAAACAGAAACTGATAGGCAATCTGCAAAATTAAAGAAAAGAAAAGCATATATTTGAGATGAAGAATAATAATATGTGAATTGAGAAAGAGAGAATAGAATTTAGAATGATTACAGTGACAAGGGCAGTGAGGGTTAAGAAATGAGAGTCGATGACAGTGCCCATTGTGTTTCCTTTGTCTTGTTGAATCCGAAACAGAAGAAGAAGAAGAGGTGTCGTGTGCGTCAATGTACGACCATTCGTTTTGTGGAAGTAAGTCACATTCTTAACTCTTGAATTCAATCCATTCCCATCCACGCACATTGATGTACGTATATGGCATGTGCCCACTGCCCAGGGTCTTGTTACAATCTTACCCCTCTCCCCACAACAAATTCATTTTGCTAACACTTGCTTCTTTTTTAATCGTATTACATTAATCAGTGACCAGCTTATTTGATTTAATCAAAATTCTAGTATCAAGTTTAATTCTATAAATAAAAATTTGGATTACATTGACAAAAATTGCATTAAAAAAATCACAATCATAATTTGCTAATAAACTTATAGAAAATATTAATTATGTATATTTCTTAAATTATTACATCATTCAATAACTTTTAATTAAATAATATTTTCTCAAAACTTGTCATTACATTAAAAGTTTCTTTCTTATATATACAATATTTTATTATTAATTCAAAATTATATCAATCAAAATTTAGAACATTCTTCCGTTCTTCGGTAAATTCAACCTTATACGAGATACGGAAGAACTGTTATTGGATTAAAAATATATATTGACCAACTATACAAATTAGCTAGTTTTTTCCCTGTTCAACACGAACATGTGTTATTGTTATCGTATTCATATGTGCCCTGTGACGAGTGTATACCCATGCAAGATTTTGCTCTGGAAATGAAGAAATTGTGTGATTGCAGAACTGTCACATGAATTTCTTACATATCACCTTAGTTCACGTAAAGTTTTAGTTTGTGTGAGAAACACATGAATAACTCTGTAAATGAGTAAGGCAAATGTGTAGCACTTAAATATATAAATCAAACAAAATAAACCCATGTGAAAATAGGTGTAAAATAAAAGCAAGCTCCTACGTAACGTATAAACAAATACGCATAAATTTCAATGCTTATTTAGATAAAATCCGTAAGAAAATAAAACGCTACAAAAATGAAAACAAGAATGGTATAGTGCGTTAGTCAAATTATCAAAACTGAGGTACGGAAGATAATTATAAACTTCTTTAAGAACGAACTCCCTTGAGGCTAACCATGCGAGTAGATACATCGCTCTGGGGACCCCTCAATGCCGAACCCCCTTGAGCAATCCTCCCTGAACCTCCATAGGAAGCATCTTGATGTCGTGCACTCCGGTAGCCAGAACCCGTTCCTCGACCCCTCGAATAGCCACTCCCAGCTGCTTGGCCTAACACCATTGACCTTCCACCACCATACCCTGCACGCCCACTGCTTTGCCGTGACTGAGAATGGGACAGATCTTGCCACCTGCCACCTGAAGAGGCTGCTCCGCTACCAGCAGCAGCAGCAGCTGCATAGTCCTGGCCATCTCTCCGCCTTGGAGGCAGATCCAATCCACCTCCACCTACCCTTGCCTCTGTTGCTCTTTCATTACTCTCGGCAAGGATAGATAATTTCTCTGTCAATTGGAATGCTAATGCTTGCAGCCTAGAGTGTTCAACATCTTGGAAAACAATACACCCAGTTGGCTGGTCCCAGCTTGCATGAAGCTCCTCATTAATCATCATCCTACTGACAATGCTATGAGTGCGAGAAACAGAGAGATCAAAAAATTTTGTTAGCTGATCCAGGCTCAATGATTCATAAGATGAAGAGAAGGTAAAGAGGTATGTCCTTAGTGCCTCCTCCTTAATTTTGTCCTTCAGCATTTCAAGCACGGTGTCTCGATTTTTCACAAATCTCCATACATCAAGAGACACAATAGTGTCAAAAGCCTTCTGGAAGTCTCCCTTGCAAAGAACCCTTGTGGCAGCCATAACATGATCTCTGACATTATCTGGTGGACCAGTGAATGTTTGTTTGTCGCTTACCTCAAGCAAGCGACGGAACGTCTTACTAATGACCTTGCGTTTGGCATCATGAACATTGGCTGCCATATTGGGAACTTCCAGCAGCATAGCAGATACAAGATGTACTGCCTCGAGGAGCTCAAGATTGATGTGCATATGATATGGCATCTGCCGTCTTCTTTCCAACCTTTCCTGAAAGAGTTGAAGAGTTAACCGCAATGTCAAAATGTAATTCATACAATTCTAAAACAAAGAATTAAATTAGAACTATAATACTGATATCCAACAACATATCACTATTAAAAGACACAACATAAAAAGTTAGATCAGTCCTTTCTCCAGACCAAATTATTATTACAGCTTCACATGACTTCAATTTCTATCAGTTCTTTCACTAAAGATTCTTGACATGATGCCATTTTCTTATAAAAAGGGTTTACCACTTCAGTGTTGATTATAGGACATCTAAGCAGTTAAACACTTTCATATAATTTTCTGGTTAATTACAATGCATGTTTAACCAAAACATACAGCTTCACCAAACAAATAAAATGTAATACTTAATGCCTCGCAGCCGACAAGCACCTCACCTGAACTTGGTAGTGAGGGACTATAGTGAGAACCAACTGACTAGGAATCTACTTATTTTGAGATATTTTCAGTTTTGGAAACATCATGGTAAGCACAATAGCACAAACATACATGCATACACACATCTTCCAGCTACACCCTTAGTAACAATAAATGCATTGAACTCTTAACTAAGAACAGGACCTAAAAAACTTTCACCATATCAACCATTCAAAAAAGGGGAAGAAGGGGGGGGGGGGGGGGGGTG